CATCACTCTCCTTATGTCCTGCTGCGAATATGCGTAATGGAAGATCTTTAGAATCCGTAGACGACGCCACCAAGCTTCCAGAACCGTTGTGGCGGCGTGCTAATTGCTTCTCGGTCGGAATGGAGTGGTGGATTGGGCAAGCGCAATCGAATTACGACTCTCCTGAGTTGCCGCACATCCGGTCGGTCGGTGAAGTCCATGTATTGAGGTTTCATCGCAATATCACCGGGAGTTGCTGCCTTCTGTGTCTTCTGGCACGACAATTCGATCTGTCGTTGTCTTACCTTCACGTAATCGGTGTACTAACTGCGCTCCTGCATAACTTGGGGTCATTGCTCGTGTAACGCGGTATTGTATGAAATTTGGAGACCTTGTGTCACTAGTAGTGATTTTCGCAGCTTGTCATGAGGTGCTCGGGTTGCGTGATTTCGTCAACGGCGTTTCAAGGTTGCCGACACTACTGAACTCGATCTCTCGGTCTCGTTTCAAGTCGTCACACTATCGAGTCACCCATCGTGAGCGGACCCTTTTGGGTGTCGAAAAACAAGCGAAGTTGAACAGACGATGATTTCGCCCATTTGGCATGTTGCAATGTATGATTTCAAAGACCCTCTCCGTCTTTTCATCTCTCTTCTAACACTTTAATGTTTCCGTAGGCAGCGAGACAACGCAGTCCCGGCCTATCACTGATAAGCTCCACAACCATACGACAATTGCGTCAATTCTAATCAAGTCCAACAGGAACAACTTTGCTCAACAAAGCTCTCCATATGCTACATTGAAATCTCCGCTTAATGCTGTTGAAATTTCTAGCACTCTGTTTCCTCCTTTTGCTGCTTTTCGATATGCCTTCTGAACTCCTGAAAAGTTTTTTGCACACGTTATGCGTTATTTGACGTTGATCGTTTGAAAGTTAGTTGGTTACTACCCTAATTCATCCCTCTTGAGATTCTTGTTCCAGAATACTATACTTGCGTGTGTAATTCGTTTATAGCTTTACATAAAAGCTCTTGAGCAGTGACAAAACGCATATGATTATCTTAATGTTTTTAATTAACAACTTCCAAAGCGTTATACCCTGATTATGTACTTCGAGTGTTATGCTTTACACATCATTCTATTTTCTAATTTTGTCTTACTGACAAAGACACATTTTCTCGCTGGGTATGCTGCAGTTCTGCAAGTACTCATCACAAAGCCAAAAAATCTTCATATGATTGTTACGGAATCAATGTTAGTGCTTGAGCGTCACCGAGCGAAGAACGCAAGTGTAGTACTTGACTTGCTTAGCCCTTTCGCATTGTCCTCAGCAATTTGATCCTCATATAATCTTTGAGCGAGTATTCATTGTATTGCTTCTTGCGCTTGCTAACATAGTACGCAGCTATTGATTATACAGCCGCGGTCGCCAGTACTTTTTCAGTTTTGACAGCCTCGAATTGATTCCTCTGATTTTGTACACAGCTTATTTCTTCACATCGAATAACTGATTATGGACAGTCTGATTACTCCATTTGGTACAACCACTAGAATTTGCATAATGCGGCATACTTTCCGCGCCACGTAGTTGATTCACATGATTAGGCGTCTGCACCTGAGTCATCGACCTCGCGCTCCTTAATT